ACTCTGTCTGCACAGCTCCCTCCCATCCCAAATCTCTTTTAATTTTGATTAGCACCTAATACCTATAGGGGTGAAACTTGCCATGTGCTGGTGACTGAGGTCTCTCAGCCAGTGACCTTTCAGCCATCAGCCTGGTAGACATCAGCAGGAGCACACACATCCGTGCTCCTGGAAGGAGAACGTTGTTCCCTCTACCTTGCTTCTTTGACCCATGTTTCCCCTGGACCACTGCTGCTGTTAGCTGGACACCGCAGAGGTGAGTGCCCCAGGACATCCCAGAAGGAGAGGTGTCCCAGGAGTCTGTAGGCTGTTTCTGCCCCACAGGCTGTGCCTGACAGGGAGAAAGCTGTCAGCAGCTCTGACGGATGAAGAGCAGGGAAACCAGCTGCTTGGCAGGCGGTCGTCTATAAAGGAAGAGACCACTGCCTCTTTACAGAGATCTGTGCTGGCCATGTGCCTGGCTGGAGGAGTGGAAGTGAGTAATACCACACAGAGGGAGGCTGTAAGACTGAATGAATGTGAAGACCTGGGACTTTGAATGTCCCAGAACGTAGTTCTTGAAGTCTCAACCTCCTCTGCCTCTTCAATGCCTCTTCCCTGAGCAGGTGGAGGCATAGAAAGTGGTACCACAAGCTGGCCACTCTGCTGATCTGGAGCTGCCCCATCTGTTTTCCATCCTCACTCTTACCCTTAGGACAGCCACACCAGGAAGAGAAGTTATGCCAATGCAGATCTCTAGGAGGTGGAAAAGCTCTGGTCATGCATACATATTAAGATCCACCGGATGGTTAGGGGTTGCTAATGCCTTCTGGCCAGGTCTGTACTGATGTGGTGAGCTCAGGCCCATTCCCTGAGACCCTTCAAGCAAGCCAGTCCCCATCTGCCCAGCATGGACTGACTCTGAAGGTTTGGAGGGGAGAAGCTCTATTTTGTATTCCCTGACCATAAGCCAGCGACTTGGCGTGACTTGGGGATGGATTGGGACTGACAAACTGAGATGGAAAGACGCCCTTTGCCATTGATTTCTCTGGTCCAGGGTAGCATGGTGTTACTCAACTCAGTCTACAAATCCCAGAGCTCATCTGCCTAGAATAGAACCAAATAAACAAATTAATTCAAAGCAAATCTGCCTCCCCCTGCTGTGACACACACTGGAATGCTTTGCCAACAGGATCCCAGTAGGATAGCTTTTCCTCAAGTCTTGCAAGCCATGGAGTAATGTTCGTCCTCCATTTTTCCTTTGTGAAGTTGGCACTGCCCCTCGCAGTAAGCGCATATAATCCACTTTTCTTTGTAACTAAAATGTTAATGATTATTTTATTTAAAGCCCTTCATATGTTGTTTTGGGTTTGGTTTTGGGGTGGGGTTTTTTGTTTGTTTGTTTTTTGTTTTGTTTTTTATAAATTCTGACGATCCTGGGAATGACAGGAGTTGTCCATAAAGCCAAGGGGTGGAACTCCTTCAGGCAGGCAATAGGTAGCGCTGGGCTACTTGCACGTAGCATGCTCCCTTCCTCAAGGATAGATGTGATGTCAGTAATTTCAAGCACAAAAGCTGATATTTGCTTGTCTTATGCCACTGTTCACCTTCGCCCAGCGACTCTTCAAAATTCAGGGCTGAAGCTGCCCTCAAGTGACCAGCACTAGGACAGTGAGCGTTGCTGGGCTGAGGAACTCTCACCTCTTTTTCTTGGGGTGCCTTCCATCTATGCAGTAAAGGACCTTGGAACCCCAGCCACGTTCACCTATAGGACTATGCTTGGAGTCTCCCTGGAGCTCCATACGGTCTTTCCTTTGTCATGAACAAAACCAGCAGTAGCACACCAGGTAACAAAGCAGTAGGTAACAGGCATCAGAAGTTCCCTTGCTGGCAGCAGGGCTGGATTAGTAGCTCAAAAATGTGTGAGTGGGTCAAGCCTGGCCCCTATGACCATCAGGGGTAGGTGGTACTCTGCACAATTTCAGGAGAGCTTCTGAAAGGGGCTGGTAGGGACTGAGGTAGAACTTAAAGTTTAATTCTCCGTGGTTATTCTGGTTGGCCTGTCTGATTATTGAAAAATAAGCACTGTTTGCTGTCCTCATCTCAGTTCAGATCTTGATTTTAGCAAGATAACAAATATTTTTATCAGCAGGTAATAATTTCATTATCTGTCAGTGCTCTTTGACCAATCCCATTTGTTCTGTCTCCATCCCTGAATGACCTGTAGCCAGACTCCACTCCAACCAGCATATGAACTTTCAGCCTGCAAAACTGGGCGTCCGCCCAGCAGCACGGATTACCTGCGCTGCTTCTTCTCAGGACTCCTGTTCATACCTCCTCCCAGCAGCTCATTTTCAAGGTTTTCCTGCATTAGAAACAAGTAGGTAATGAGTATCCAGACTGGGAACTTCTGTCTCTAGTATTAAAACCGTTCATTCTTGGATTCCTACAGCTCAAGGCCAGAAATGATCAATAGATAATCTAAAATCGCCTCCAGGATGGCACAGACTATGCATCTTTATTTAGTTATAGTTGCACTGTTCCGGTGATATCTCATCTCCCAGCAACACACTTTCCTCTCCTGAAGTGATGGTATCGGGAGTTGGGGAATCCACTACTGGGCTGTTTTTTGCAGAAGGAAGACAGCTATACTGCTGCGCGTGGGCATGATTTCTAGTAGGGAATTGTTTGGCTTCGGTTTGCAGATGTTTTGTGGTTTACCTTTCTTGGTTAGATTACAAGGCTCTTTACACCTGGCGTTTTGTTCCTGTGGCAAAACCTGTGCCCTGTAATCAGAGCACTGCTTCATCTTCTTTTTGCTAAACTGAAGAGATTGAATACTTTAGGTTTCTTACAGAAAGGCGTTTTCACCAACCCTCAAATTACTTTTGTCATGTTTTTTCTTGTATCCTCTCCAGTTTTTCAACATCCCTTAGAAGATGTGACATATTTCACATCACAACTCGATGTGATATTTTAGCATACATACTCCCTGCTGTGATGAGGATGTGTAGGGAGGCAAAAATACCTCCCTGTTCCTGCCGTGTTTCACTGCCCTGATGTCAGGGCATTGAACTGACAGTTCATATTTAATTGCTTGTCATTACACCCGAAATCTTTTCAGCGTTGCTGATTTCCAGGATCGTCTCCTTCTATCTGCAGCTGCTGCCTGCATTCCTTCTTCCTAGAAGTGTAATTCTGCATTTGGCTCTATTAAAATCCCATATTGCTTGGATGGATTTGCCCTCCACAGTGATCCAAAATGCTCTGTGTGATTGCTCTGTTCTCATCACGATACACCACATTGCAAATTTTTGTGTCAGCAGCACACATTATCAATGTCGATCGTATGTTTATTTCGAAATAAAAATATTTATTTCCAGATGAAATCCTTGAATCGTGCCAGGCCTCGTACTGATCACCCTGGAACCCATCTAATTCCCTCCCCAGCGACAACTGCTTCTTGTGTTCTGTCACACAGCCAGTTTGTTATTCATTTCACATGTGCCTGATTGACATCGTACTGCCCTGTTTATTTTTTTATCGGAATAGCACGGGCTCTCAGCCTGTCGGTGTGCGTGTATGTAATTCTAGCGAATGATGAAAACAGACTCCTTTGACAAGAGCAGTTCTCCACAGACCCCGTTGACTTCACCTCACTTCTATATTCCTTTCCTTTAGTTCCCAATTAATTGACCTGTTCATCATCTTTTCCATTCTGTTGTTCAGGGCTGATTTCGGGCTCGCTGGCTGACAGTTACCTTGTGTATCATGCTTGGCCTGTTGGAATACCAGCACAGCATTAACTTCCTCTCCACCTCCCCAAATCTTACCGTTATTCCAAGCTATCCAAGCCAGGAATGTCAGCAAGCCAGAGCTACTGTCAGCCAACTCTCGTTGGATCAACCAGTCCTGCTGGGTTTAGAAACACCTCCCCTTTGCTGACTGTGACAGGGAAAATGGTGACCACCATAAAGCGGGATGGACCTCTCTGGGCACTTTGGTGGGACAGAGCTAGTTTGCCCCAGCCATTTGGTCAGAGATGGAGGTGCTGGACAGGGTATGCAGAAGGCCTGTCAGTGCTTAAGTTCGGTTGCAGAGAAATCCAAGGCATGGACTTTCAAAGAAACTCAAGGGGCATATGGGCAGCCAACCTATTTTGGCCCCTGGTGTACTAAAGCCTTTTTCCTTGCAGGTGGTGCAAGCGAGAGTGAGGGAGATATTTACAGAGCACCCTCCTGGAGTCTTAGTGCTGCCAGTCAGTAAAAAGGAATAGGAGCAAGTGCAGTAGACCAAGATGTGCTTCTCTGTTGGTTTAATGCAAAGAGCTCTGCCTAGTGGTCTACATGGCTTTATCACAGAGTTTAAGAAGTGTGACCTGGTGAGCTGGATGGCTTCTCCATGCGTAGTCCCCAGAAGACAACAAACGCCATAAATGCAATTACTGCAGGAAGTTGTAACTGCTCTTACAGGAGGGAGTTCTTGGTAATTTTCTCTTGCTTGTGACTCTTGTGGGCCAAGTTTTGTTTATTTGCTTTGTCTGGCTTCTCTTCTGATTGCCTCACTAGTTTTTCAGTGCTGGTTTGAGGCTGGGAAGGCAGGTCCTGAGAAAGCTCCCACCATGAGAAAGAACTGATTTGGAGCTGCTTGTGTTTGCTGGAGGAGGGATGTGTTGGGACAAGGAGCAGCCCTTGAGCGTAATGGGCAGACAGCGGTGCTGCAAGGCAGCCGGAGTGTCCCTGTGATGGGGCAGCCTGACTTGATGGTACAGGGAGGGTATCTTGGTGAACACTATGCCCTGCCAGGTTCAGGGCATGAAGCACAGTCCCTAGGCTGGCACCATCATGGTGACTGAAAGCAGGTGAAGAGTGGAACCCTGCTCAGGTAGGCAGAGCTCTGTGTCCAGGTGGTGGCTGAGGCAGCTTGGCAGTGAAGATTGTGCAGGGCATCCTAGTGGAGAGGCACTGTGGGTCAATGCAGTTGCTCGTGAGAAGTATTGTTTCATTTTTTCTCTTCCACAGGACTCAGAGCAGAATTGGCTCTCCTGTCTCCTCCCAGCACACAGGGCCGTCACGGACTGTCCGGCGCTACCCAGCCAGCAGTGGCCAGCTCACATCTAATGCACTCCCAAACGGGAATGGACATGAGCAGAGCAGCTCTGGGCCACACTCAGTTTCCCAGGAGCACACCTCGTCTGCAAGGGGTAAAGCCTCCAGGGCCGTCACTCTTTTGAGGCTTCTTGTTGCGGTGTCCGGGGGAAGGGCAATGGTGTGGCTGGGGATCCCCAAGAAACCCTGGACTCCCAGGACTGTGCTGCTGGGTGGGATGGAAAGGAAAGGTCCGCATGGGCATTGCTGGGCTTGGTGAAGAAAGAGACCCTACCAAAGGAGGTCAGATTAGAGGAGCAAAATGCTGGCAGCAGGGGAGAGGAGGCCAGGGGGATGTGACAGATGCATTCCAGAGGTATTGAACATCACCCCAGCACTCCTGCCCTGCAGGGGGATTGCCTTAGTCTGTAGGAATGGTGTCTCCCAACTTCCTCCTCAGTCTGAGCAGCTCTTGAGGTCAGATTGTGCAACCAGTGTCTAGTTCTTCCCTTTGGCTGCCCCCTTGGTGCCTTCTGACACGAGCAGAGATCAGGCCAGGCTGCCTGGCAGAGCCTCAGCAGCTCCCCAGCTGGGACAGATGCAAGTTGTCTTCTGCAGCTTGGCTCCCCCTGGAGTTGTGCTTCCAAGGAGGCACCATGTGGCACCCCAGCCTTTAGGAATAAAGGCCTCGAGCCTCATTGAAGCTGTAATCTGAAAATGGGGATTGAAATGGGGAGAGTTGGGGGGGAGCACACTAAGGGGGGCACTCACAGAAACAGCTGTCTCGCTGGGCAGGGATGGAGGGCTACGGTGTCAAGCCAGCTGGTTCATGGCTACACAATAGTTCTGCCTGTCATTCATTTTCCACAAGCCCCCAAGAGCACTGAATGCTGTTTCCCTCCATATCTAATGTAAGGATGGTGACGGACCAGAAGGGGACCGCAGGTAACCGTAGGAGGTCAGGGGATGCTTACAGGAAGACACTGGTTTTCTCAAGCCCTGATGCCCTCTTTGATGAATATGAGTGCGGCTGTTCATGCGGGAAGCCTTCCAGTGGTTTAAGGGCAGCCAGTCTCCTGGCTACTGACATGGCTTGAGAAGGGATATTGTCTAAAGCAGAAAAACACTCTTTATGCTGGAGTTAGTGCATGTGTGTCCCTTCATGGAGTTATGCCACTACAACTGGGCAGACAGAGCATGTTGCTGGCCATTTTTCATGTGTTGACAAGCCCTTACTGATGCTGGGGCACTGAACGGGCTGGAGTGAGTGAGGGGCAAGGAGAGACACTGCCCTGGGAAGAGACACAGACCCCTCCTTGCTCTGGGAATGCTTTGGAGCTTGAGCTGCAGATTACCAGCTCTCTGGCCTGGAGACACTGTTTCCACTTAGCACTGTCCTTGTCTTTCATAGGGGCCAACCTGACAGAGAAGATTAGGAAGATAAAAATCGTCTTCACACCCACCATCTGCAAACAGACATGTCGGAGCGGGCGCTGCTACAACAGCTGCGAGAAAGGAGACACCACCACTCTCTATAGCCAGGGGGGACACGACCACGATCCCAAGTCCGGCTTCCGCATCTGTGAGCACCCCGAGGCCCCTGGCCCATCTTCTTGCCTGCTCCCCCTCTCTCCTCCTGCCTTTCCTGCCTCTACAGGCTCAAGGGCTTGGGCTGCTATAGGGATGGGAGGAAATGGCCTTTCCCAGTCCCTTGGAAGATGTCTTGTGGGATCTTTGGGGCTTACTCCATCTCTGTCCCTGGGGGAGGAAGACAGACCTTGCCTTGTTGCTCTCTTTCCTGGGCAAGCAATTTCTGTTTCCATCCCACCTCAGGTAGGGGAGACGCGTATGTTTGAGTCAGGCCTGCAGCCAAGCCTCGCCACCCCCTCCTTCTCAGAGCCAGCTCGCTGCTTTCGTTGGCATCCAGTCTTGGGGCTGACTTTCATCACCTAATTTCCTCCTGTTCTCTCCTTTCACTCACGTGGCAGGCAGGAGAGCTGGCTGCAGGTTGCATGCTGTTCCTATAAACAGGGCTGCTGAAACCTCTGCTCGCCTTTCAGAGCTGCTGTGATTGCTGGTCAGGTCACTGGGATACCCAGCTGCAGGTTGGGAATATCCTCTTGGAGCCAGTTGGTGGGAGCAGCCTGCAGGATCTGGTGGGACTCGTCCTCTGAATGTCTCTGTAACTCTCAAGTTCTTCTAACACAGAGAGGGTGCAAAGTCTGGCTGTTGTGGACACCAACTGGTTCATAGGAATTTCTGCCTAGATCCCAGTCCAAAGATGTGTCTCCTCCCCCCAAAACTGGTTGCTGGGGTTGAGCAAAGGAACTTGGAGCAGGGTGGGAGCTCATCCCCTGGGATGAACCTAACAAGCCATCCTGGGATGTGCAGCGGCAGCGTCTAATCTGGAGCTGAAATGAGTCAGGATGATCAGTCAGGAAATCCCGTGCCGTGAGCGTCGCTCACCCTGAGAAATGCTCCGAGTTGCTCCAAGCATCTGATGAGGCCAGAAATGACATGACTTTGGTTTCATCTGTGGATGCTTTTTCCAAGCCTGTGCATACGAATTGCTCCCAATTCTTTTGTCCCACTCCAAGCTTCTCCCACTTGAGCTGCTGGCAGGGCCAGGGCTGGCCGGGAGACAGGCTTTGAGGATGTGGCTCTCTGCCCGTTCTCTCCTTCTGCCTCTCCCATCCCCACTGATCTCCTTTCTGGGCTGGGAGTAAAAACCCCTTCCAAGTGGGGAGGGGGCGATGCAGAAGGGAAGGAATTGTGCTGATTCGGCCACATGTGGCTGCCGTAGCTCCTGCACCATTCCGAGGGATCCTGTTGTGCCAGCAACACCACCTTGGCCCTGGGGGGTTGCCCCACAGGTCATGGGTACCCCAGGCTGGCCATGGTCCCAGAACCCAAGGAAGGGCTCATCATCTTCAACTCATGACTCCAGCCCTGATCAGAGCTCAGGGAGGACCTCAGCTTCTCCACCTGCTCCCTGCTGGATGGTGGTGCACAGCAGGGATCCTGGGATGCCTCCAGGCTGCAAGTGTTGACCCCAACCCGGCTCTGGGTCTGCTTCTTGGGCACTACAGGGCTAGTGCTGGCCCAGATCCAGCTGCCTGGCCTCCCCAGCCATTCCTTGGCTGGAGGCAGTGGCTCAGTTTCTCTGCTAAGGAGACCTCTCTTTGCCTTGCAGACTTCTGCCAGATCCCCTGCCTGAACGGAGGGCGCTGTGTGGGCCGAGATGAGTGCTGGTGCCCCTCCAACTCCACGGGGAAGTTTTGCCACCTGCCAGCTCCCTCTCTGGAAAAGAAGCAAGGAGGGAGAGCCCCAAAGACCCTGGCTGGTGGTTCCATGAAGCAGTCAATGTACACCCTGCCCTTGTCCAATCAGCTGGGTAAGCATGGACGGAGGCTCCAGACTCCACATTTCCCTTGTACTTCTGAGTCCTCCTACTTGGGTGCTCCTCACATCTTCATTAACAGGCCCGAGGAGGCCACGACCCTCTTATGCCTGCCTTTTCAGACCAGGTTGTTAGAAAAGTCATTCCCTTAGTTTCTGAAGGACTCAGGTTGCTGGGGAGAGTTTTTGGTAGGTTTGTCCTGGTTTTATACCAGAGAAGTATTTTCTCTTAGGTGCAGTCTTCCTCTGGATTTCCTGGTGGGGTTAATTTACCTCTCCTCCCATGTGACTTTGTTGATGACAAGATGCTCTTCAGGTGCCAAATTGTTGCCAGATTGTCACAGCTGTGGTATAAACTCATCTTCCAGCTTCCCTAAACCCTTCCCTGGTGAACGTCCACATCAACCACCCTCCAGAAGCCACTGTGCAGATTCACCAGGTGGCCAGGGTGCGGGGTGACACAGAGGTGTCGGAGGAGAACAGCGTGGAGGCTGTCCTGGTGCCTCAGATGGCTGCTGTGCCCTGGTACACCTACGCCCACGGGAATGGCAACAGCATTGCCACGGAGAACAGCCAGCAGCAGCAGAGAGCCCCGGGGCTGCTGGGCAGGTGCTTTCGGGAAGCTCTCCATGGGCAGGTAAGGGCTCACCCATCAAGCATCAGAGAGTGTGTGTGGACATATGTTCCTTGTTCTGGGGTACGGGTGCGTTGACTTATGGGGCAGGGAGGGTGGCCTTTCATTGCATGAAACTCTTCAGCATCAGTGTGGGCATGACACAGGTGCCGTGGCCACGGGCAGCAATGTGTTAGTACTTGGGAAGAAAATGTCTTGTTTTGGCCCAACAGGGAGACCTCGCTGCCTTGCCCTGAGCAGGCTGTGCCCTGGGGCAGCACAGCCCAGACTTGATGGCTTTCACACACGGTCTAGTTTAAAAAGGGTGCCCTATTTATAGCAACATTTACAGCCACGCTCTGTGATTATTGTAGGAAACGTATAAAACATAGGAAAATTCCTTTCCCTCTCAGACGATAAATGAAAGTCTGATTTCCATGGAACGACGCCTTCCCGGGCAGCTCAGTCGAGCCTTGGGAAGCAAACGCACGTGAGGGGCTTTCTCACCCCTGTCCTGCAGTCATTGTAATTTCTTATTTTGTCTTTCCCCATATGTTTCTCTTGCGTCACTGGAAAAGCATTGGAGGTTTTTGGCACCCACAGGAACACCTGTGAGCTCCCCGGGAGGCAACTGGCACTCAGTGAGACCCCTGGCCGGGCAGCCTGGGACGCAGCCCCCTCCCCATGGCTCCCCAGTCCTTCCTAGGGGGCTGCTCCCTGTTCTGTCGCTCCCATCCAAGCCGTTCCTAGCGGAATACATTCTCAGCCATTCCCTAGCACAAAAATAAATGAGGTCAGACCCTGGGGCTGGAAAAGCCCCACTCCTCCATGGGGACACAGCGGGTCTCTGCACCTGGGAGTGAATGATGATGCGTGGAGATACAGAGATGCTCGTGGATGTCCAGAGAGGCTGCAGGAGGTGCTTTGGGGGAGGGTGAGGGGGGGCAGCAGGGGGTACCCTTGCTATGCTCGCACCTCACCCAGCTGGGCTGATGCCGTGCCCGGGAGAGGGTGAGGAGCCCAGCGGGGAGCGCTCGCCTCTCCCCGCTCAGCCTGGCCGGGGGGGCCGTGGCAGGTCCCCTCTAGTGGGAAAGCCTGTAATCCAGAGGGCCTTGCTGGGGGGGGTGGTGGTGTGGAGGGGGGTGAGAGGGGGCGGGAAAAAAAAACTCATTAAGCAGAGGAAAGTGCCTGACCGCAAGCTCCCTGCCGGGCTGGAGTGGTGCACCCATTTCGCTGGCTAATCAGCCAGGCATGGGGCTGATCCGAGGGCTTTGCCCGGTGATATCATCTCTGGTTCATCTCCTGCTCCATTTGATGTCCCCTTCCCCTCCGAGGGGTGCAGCCGAGGGAGTCTGGTGTTTTTCTGTCTGCACAACTGTTTACTGTCTTAAGCCACATCCCCAGTTCTGCTATGTCCCGGTGAGGAGCTGTGCCAGGAGGTCCATGCCAGCCTCTGGTACCAAACCATCATCCCCTCTGCTGCCACCATGCCAGTGGCTGCAGCAGACAGGCACGTCCCCTCCCCATCCCGCAGAAGCCTGATCCTCTGGTCCTCTCTCTGCAGTGCACCAACCCCCTGCCAGGGCTGACCAAGCTGGAGGACTGCTGCGGCAGTGTGGGGCTCTTCTGGGGTGTGGACCAGTGCCTGGCCTGTCCCCCCCGGCCAGGTGAGTGCTGCCGCTGCTGGGGACGGCATGACACGAGGTATGGCACGTTCGGCAAGCAAAAATGGTTGGGCTGCCTCACACCACTGAGGAGGCATGGAGCAGAGCCATGGGTCCCCTGCCATGTGGCTCTCTTTTGCCCAAGGTCCTTGGGGATGGGCAGCGTGTCCATGGAGGCACACAGGGCCATGGTTGCTCCGCTGCTGCCCTGAGGAGTGCTCTGGTTTAGGTGCTGGCCCCAGGCTCAGTGCTTTCTCCCTGAACCGCCCCTGTGAAACCCTGGTGCAGCCGGTGGTT